GGTGATGGTGAGGGTTATGTAGATGTTGGCGGTGATGATTGTGGTGGCGATGGTGATGGTGATAATGACGACGGTGTAGATGATGAGGATGATGAAGATTTGGACGACGGCGCGGGGGACGATGAGGACAGATGGGATGCCATGGCAAACCTTTGTCGTGGCGGAACACCTTCCTGGTATTCCAACGCCGCGAATCAACATGACTGCCGCGTCTTGACAAGCCCATACCTTTTCAGGAAACCCGTCATTGGATTGACGCCGTACGAATCTTTGAAAGAGTCGCAGATGTTTAGGACGAGCGTGCCGGGTGCTGAAGGCTAGAGCCACATGTCGGAAAAAGGAACCACCCTCCCTCTCTGAAGCTCCTGCCAAAGTTTTAGACGAATGTGCGCTACGCTGAAACTAGAGCCACATATTGAGCACCACTGTCCTCCATCCTTAACCGCTGCAGACGTTTGAGACGAATGCGCGCGGCGCTAAGGCGAAGTCCTCAGTTTGCAAACGACCGGCCTTCCATGTGTGAAACCGTTGCAAAGTACGAGCTTCGATGTCATACTCGTTGAAGAAGTTTCAGGCAGCCCTGGCGACACATCTTGGGGCGCCACAGGGATGAGTTTTTTTTTTAGGAAAGGGAATGAGGAAGGGAAGCGACGGAGTATGATAAGGAATTCGACGAAATGGAAGATGATGATGGCGTCAGAGTGAACCGGGTGAGGTGATTGGGAATTGTCCTTAGTGTCGTTGTCCGCAAGTCATGTGTGATCGTTCGGTGGCAACGTGTGCACGACTGAATAGACCTACGTTTCAGTCGCGATGATATGGGAAACGTTACACCATTGACTTGGGAGCAGGTATGGCGAAGTCACCATTGTGCGAGCAACGGAACATGCACGCATGACTCGTGAACAGTTTCTTGAGGCAGACTTCGCCAATTTCTGCGGATCGTGCGCGTCGGCTTTCAGCGACGGCAGCTATACATACATAGCGTCGGTGTTGCAGGCCAAACGTGACGTGTTTGTCTACCGCGAGGTGACGCACAAGTTTGAAACGGATCTTGGCACAGCCTGGTTCACCGAGTTGGATATCTAAGGGGCTTCGCCCTTTGCCGCCAGCCCCCCCTCCTGCGAATGCTTGCGCGGCCGCGCCTGGTTTGTCGGTTCGCTTGTTGGCTTGTCGGTTGGCTGGCTGGAAGCGCGGCGGGTTGGCCTGTAGTCTGAAAATATGGTTGGCAGTTGGTTTGATCGGTTTGCTGGCTGGCTGTCTGCGCGCGTCTGTAGCACTTAGTTGTGCACGCCAATATCGGCTCCAAGAGACACCGCCAATATCGGCTCCAAGATCGGGCCCTCGAGACGCCGCCGCCCAATGCTGCCTCTTCCAACTCCAGCCCCAGCTCTCGCGAGCCCCAGCTCTCGCGAGCTGGCTGCAATGTCCGGGCCAATCCTGGCTCTCGATGCTGAGTGGGGGAAGTGCATTCCAGATCCGGAGTTGGACCCCGCGGATAAGGCAGGGGCGCCCAACCCAGGGGAGATGCCCGACGCGTCCAGAGGGGGCGCGCGACGCCCAGGCACGACGATGGGGAAGCTCATCAAGAAACCCCGAACTGGAGCCCTTCAAGGTCCAGCAAGCAAATCACATCGCACCTGGTGCCCCCACCAGGAGATGGGCAGCTTCGACGACTACCCAGATTTCGAATGGAAAGGTAGGGGGGTGGCAGGGAAGGGGAAGGACCAGAAGGAGGAACATAGCTCGGCGCGCACTCTGCACTGCGGGGGCTTGCAGGCGAGCGTCTCGTTAGAGATCGAAGGGGGGGGGCTCGCAGCCATTGCTGGCCTCGTGGGCCAGAAGCTCGGGCCTTCCCCCCGACAGACTCAGAAGGTCGAGGGGTCGGTCTCGCAGGTCGGCAGGGGCGTGGCCTCCGTCGCCCGCCAGTTCCAGGAGTGGCGAGAGATAGCGATGCCAGGGCTCGGCGCGCCCAGGCGCCGCTCGCAGAATACGGGAGGCAGAAGATCGGGCAAATTCCCAGGCGTCGTCAAAGACGGGGGGGCGGTTTCCGGCATAGCCAGCGAGTTTACAGAGAGATCGAGCGAGGTAGCAGCGGACTTGGCCCCGCTCGTCTCGGCGCGGGGCACGGCGCTCTTCGGGCAAGTCTTCGGCGGCGCTTGGGAAGTCTAGCAGATTTGGACAGGTCGCGAAGCGGGGAAGTGGCCATGGAATCAATCGCCGCGCGCTGGGGCGTTGTGCCCGACCGAGCTACAGGGGGGAGTTCGGCAACTCCGCGTTCGCCAAGTTCGGCTCCGCGGAGGAGAAGGGGCGCGGCGGTCGCGAAGACGCGCGCCTTTGCGCTCGCCGGAGACAAGCGCGCGGGCAGCAGCGGGCCCCTCATCACCTGACAGAGCCCGTCGCCCGATGATCTTGTGCACCGAGAGCTTGCCCTTGTAGCGGGGTTTCGATGGGCGCGCGTCGCGGGCTGGCCCGGGCGCGCAAGCCGCCCGGTTCGTCGGGGAGACAGCGCCCGCAGCCGCAGTCGCCAAGGACAGGCTTGATTTGGACTGCGGGGAGCGTTGGGGGCAGCGCCTGGCCGCCGACGTGGACTGGCTCAAGCTCCACGACGAACGGCGCGCCAGACTCGCCGAACCAGACGGGGGCACCAAGGGCGCAGAGAAAGGCAGAAGTAAATCCGCGGCTCCCCGCGGATGGGGGCCACGACGCATCGACGCAGAGACCAGCGGGCACGCTGCCCCGTCGACATCACCCAGTGGCCACTCGGGGCGACGAAGGCCTCCTGCTCGACGCCGAGCGCGCGCATCTGTGGCAGATCGCTTCCGTCGCGGAAAACAAGGAGGCTCGCAATAGTGGCTCTGCAAGAGACGCGCGTCTCCGCGGCGCCATATTCTCCGTTCGAGGCGTGCCTGGCGGCGCTGCCAGGGGGCCCGGAAGACGAGCGGGGGCGCGATGGAGCGGGCGTCGTCGCGGCACCGCGGGCGCGGCGCGCTGCCGCGAGCTTCGCTCGGCGCGGCAGCCGGCTGGCCAGTCTCAGAACCTGGGCCCGGGAGGATCAGCTTCATTCATTCGCGCTTGCGCCCCGCACTCTGGACATGATTCTGAAGTGGGGCGCGTATCGTGTCATGATTTCAGTGCTGACAGAAAAAACAGAACGGCGTGGGCCCACGATCTCCTCGGGCTCGGGAGACTCCGCGGCGCGGTCTGGCCCTTCAGTCTTCTGCGATTCGGAGGTCGCCGGGCCGTTCGCCCGGGGCGACCGCCGAGCCTGTCTTGGACCATCGTGCAACCGGCGCATGTCGTTCGAATGCTGTTCGGCGCGTAGCCTCGCGATCGGGCAAGTTTCGTCGGGCAGGCCGTCCGCGCAGCGCGCGGCGCGTTTCGACGCGGGGGCAGCGGCGGCGACTGCGCTGACCGCCAGACATTTCGCGGAGACTGACCGCGCCCCGTTGCGCCGCGAATGGCAAGGAGCAGCCCGTGCGATCTGTTCTGACAAGGGCATCGGCATCTCGTCGCGCCGTTCGTCAGTTTCAGCGGAGCTGGGCGCTGATGTTCCGCGGGCCCCGCCAAGATCCAGGGGGCTGGCCGCGTCTTTGAGATTTCCGAGCGCGGCAGCCCGCCGCGCGGGAGAGTTCGCGCCCCGCGCGGAAAGCTCTCGACGGCCCGGCGCGGGCGTCGGCCCCGAAGAGAGCAGCGCGCATCGAGAAGTACACGCTCGCGGACGCCAGCGCGAGTCTTGCGTGCAGAGCGGCGCGCCCCGGCCGCCCGCGAGCGCAGCCGCGCGCGCCGGCCCTGATTGAGCGGCGCCAACATGCCGGCGGCGGGCAGATCACGCCCGATGCAAGTGGCGCAACAAGCCTAAACATCAGCAACAAACGACAGGAGAGAGCGGCCGCCAGATCAACTGCTCACAGGAGGCGGCTGGGGAAATCCGGTGCGCATCCGCAGCGGAGACATGAAGTGCCGGCGCCTCCTTCCGGACGAAGGAGGCAACCCGGCGGGCAGCGACAAACGGGCGGGTGCCATGGCTGCGCATATTGAGACCGCGCAGCGGGCTGCTCCTGCGGCGGGGGCCCTGTCGGCGACCGTGAGTTCCCGCGCGGATGCTATTTAAATGAGGCAACCCCTCTGGGCTGAGCCTCGACGATTTCTCCGCGGCGGAGTTCGCGGCAGTCTTGTCGAAGCCGGAGGAGAGCAAGCAGCTGGCCCGAACGGCGCCCCGCCAGGATTTTGAAGGGCCCTCGCCACTGCGACCAAGCTTACCAGTCCCTTCTCCAGTCCCTTCGCAATCTCTGCAACGCGTGCTGGGCCAGCTGGTCAATTCCGAAACATTGGAAGCACTGCTGAGTGACAGCCACATTCAAGAATGGCGACGAGTCCTTGCCGCGCAATTGCCGGCCGATATCCCGTCCTTCCGCGAGCTACAAAGTCCTCGCGAGTTTCTCGTTGAACCGCATGGCGAGAGGAGAGGTGGAGGAGAAGCTGAGAGACGCGCAGCATGGCTTCCAGATGCAGAGACGCTCCACGGACGCGACCTTCCACCTGCAGCAGGGCCATCCAGGGGGCGTGGGCCACCAAGGATGACAAAGTGTCGACTGTTCTTAGACATTGGTCAGAGGCCTTTGACAGGGTCGATCCGGTGACGGTCCTGGCACCCTGGGCATTCCGGCATCTCGCAGGCCTGCGCTGGGATGGTTGCGAGCATCTACGCAAACCGCGCGTTCGAGCTGGCAGACGGACGCGGGTCTTCTGGAGTTCACGCAATCGCCGCAGGCATTGCGCACGGACGCCCTTTCACCCCCTACTTGTTTTTCATCATGCTGACCGTTCTCATGGCGGACGTCGGAGCTGGTCTGGCAATTCGGCATGGCCTTGTGCCGCGTGACAGCGTCTGCTTTGATGTGACTTTCGCAGATGACGCGGTTATTGTGTTCGATTGAATCCCGAGGGCACAATTTTTTCTTGAGTTATCTCGGGCCAAGAGCTCGCGCGCATGGTCTCGGGCCGAATTGGGGGAGAACCGTGCATCTGCAAGTCAGACGTGACGCAGACATCGGGGCAGCAGGGTGGGGAAGCCAGTCGAATTTGCTGTATATCTGAGCAGATGGCGCGCGCCGACGGAGGCGCAGGCACAACCGTTGCAAGACGGATGGGGGAAACCGAATCGGCACTCCAGGAGCTCAAGCTTGCGCGGCGGCATGCGAACGTCTTGCGAACTCGCAAGATAATACTGCAGTGCGCGACCAGGACAACCTCGACGTGGTTCAGGCACAGTGCATCTGGTGTACATCGGGCAGTCTGCACTCGATGACATCACGGGTGTCGAACGCAGAAGTACGGCGCCGAGCATGCGAACCCATGTTGAGTCAGTTCGTATTCTTCGGACAGCTACTTCTGTTCGGCAGAACCACGGCTATGCCAGAGTCGCACATCCGCCGCGCAGTCTCCAAACATGGCACTGTCGAGCCAGCGGATTTACGTATCCGGAAGGGAAGAGGTCGGCCTTGATTGAATTTGGGCTCGGTGATCAGAGCGCGAGTCCTCTTGGCAAACAGGGACACCCTCCGTCCTCACAGTCCTTCGGCCCGGCCCCCCCACCCACCCGCCCCTCCCATCCCTACCCGTGCCCCTGCCTCGCCGGAGAGCGAACTAACGATTTTCTTATCGGCGGAACAGTGTAGCCCGCGGTAATGGAGGTCAGCGTCTTGGCGCCAAGTTTTCGCATAGCATAGAAGCTAATACCTGCAAGGCTTGGAATGCCTCAGCCTCCCACCCCCTCCTTTCCTCGTCCTCCTGCCCTCCCCTCCCCGTGCCCCTTTTTCAGGACAGCGATTGGTCTCAATTCCGCCATGCTGCATGCTGTAATCCGCACAGGTGGAAGACAGTCGCCAGGCGGGACGTCAGTTGTTCGTGACGTGTTTTTTGCCCGGTCTGGTCATGCGCCTCCAACCGGCGGCACTTCTGCAGCCGATGTGTCGTGCAGACAGGGCGTCATTGATTGATTGGTGGCCTCGGGGACGCGCTTCCGCTTCAAGTTGCGAGGCGTCGGGGCTTCGGGTCCAGAACCACATGTTTAAGCAACGAAGGGGCGGGGGGGGCGACCCCCCTCCCGAGCGCACATTTCCATGCAGAAATGTATAACTAGTTAGCTGTGTGCTTTGGAGAGTCTGGAGCGGGGGCGGTGGCGCGCGTGTTTTCGGGAACGCGAAATTGCGGTGGGTTGGGATGAATGGTGGCTTCGGGAACACAAGCTTATCCGAAGTTTCCATAGGTTCTGGCTTTGACACCACGAACGACGGCTTGTCGCTTGGGGAGCGCGAGGCCCAAATAACCACAATGGATTGCGACCTCGGGAGAGCCAGAGCGTAGTAATTTACGCGGGGGTGTTACTTCGGGACCGCGCATATGATGCAATGTAGGTTGTGGCATCGGGTGTTCAATTTGGCGTAAATTTGAGGATTGGGGCTTCAGGGGCGCGAGGCTGGTGTAATGTACAAACGATTGTTGCCTCGGGAGCGCCAGCATGTTGCAATGTATAAGACTTAGTGGCCTCGAAGGCGCAAGCTTGTTGCACTTCACCTCAAAGATTATGACCTCGGGATGTTGGCTTCGTGGGGCGCGAACCTGGCGTAATGTACAAGGACGTGCGACCTGGGATGCGCAAACCTATACGACTGCACAACGGATTGTGGCCTCGGGGCAGCAAGGCGAACTGAGTGACAGGAGGCTGTGGCTTCGGGGAACCCAGACTTTGCGCGAAGTATAAGGAGTTGTAGCCTCGGGAGCGCGAGTGTGGAGTAATTGACATTGGATGTCAGCTTGGGGAGCGCGAGCCAGACGTAATTTAAAAGGGATTGTGGCCTCGGGAGCGCCAAGGCGTAGTACTTTACAAGGAACTCTGGCGTCCGGAGCACAAGCTAGCTGTAATTGACGAGGGCGTGTGGCTTCAGGAGCGTGACTTTGCATCATTTACTCTGGGGGCGTGGCTCAGCGAGCGCGAGCCTGCAGTAACCGACTACGGGTTGTGGCCTCGGGAGCGCGCACTTGCACCGGGTTTTTGTCTCGGGGGCGCGAAGACGGCGCAATGCACGAGTCTGATTTACCTTACGCGCCCCACGACTCCTCAAGGAATTTCTGAGACCTCCCCAGAGGGGGTGGTTTGCGGCCGCTTTTCGGGTTCCCCGGCCTTCGCACTGTCTTATGCCGCTACGACAGTGTAGCTAGAAAAGAGAGCATCCATAACCAACTTGGGAACCAGAACTGCTGCCAGGAGCAGACCCACGCCTTGCAGCCCGGTGGTCCCGAATGGGCTGGTTCATTTCATTCGATGCGCTTCATGAAGGGCTTCGCCTGTGGGGGTGCTCAGAGTCAGGGTGGTAATTCTGCCCCCGGGGCCTGGGAAGATCGCCTCGGAATCGCAAAAGAAAGCTGCACAAGCACACAGTTTTCGGAGCTCCACCCGGATTTCTTGGATGGGCGCTGGAATCCCCTGGCGGCGCCTCCAGCGCCGCCCCTGGCGAGCTCCGCGCGCCAGGGAGGGGGGCCGATCTGAGGAATTTGCGCGGAGCTCCAGAGAGGGGGAGCGGGAGGAGGAGGAAGAGGAGGAGGAGGAGGAGGAGGAGGATCTAAGCATCAGGATCGAGGAGGAGGAGGAGGAGGAGGAGGAGGAGGGGGAGGAGGAGAGGAGAAGGGGAAGAGGAGGAGGACAAGTTTCTGTTTGGGTAGCTTTTCCTTCCGCGAAGGACGTGCCTCTCGGTCGCGGGCGGGGGGCCCCGCGAGGCTGCCGCGGCCAGCGAGCAGGCGCCTCGACCCTGGCAGGGCCCGCCTCGATCGGATCGATCCGACACCGGTTTCGACGGGCCCGATCCGATTCGATTCTGACATTCCGACGCAGACATTCAGGAGAGAAAAACACACACAGACACAATGAACCGTCGATTTTCCAGAACATGCAGGAAAATACAGGAAGTGGTGTGGAAGGCAAGAGCCCAGAAGATATGCGAAACTATGGGTGGTCCTTTTCATTGTGTGTGCCAGGGCGCCTTCAGACGTGTTCGCCGCTTGGAAAAATCGCGACGCGAGGTCTTTGGCTTCTTCCGACCTCCAACGGGCCTTCGCTGGGCCACGGGGCAGTCAAAGAGTTGCCGGGGTGGAAAACCTGGCCCTCGGGAGCGGGTCGGGATTGCCAGGGACCCTGGATGCAAAGGATCACGACATCGCACGGGTGGGGGGGATGACCCGATGCGGCCCGATACTTGCATGGATCGGGGGTGGACAGAACCCCCAATAGTGACACGTCGATTAGTGAACTGTCCGTTTTCGGTTCTCGAGAGGGCGCCGTGGCCGTCATTTTCCAGGCTTTCGCCCGCCAGGTTTGGGCCTCAGGTCGTTTTCACTAAACCACGTTTTACTAAAGGGGGGTCTGTCCATCCCCGAATGGAGTCGTTGTGCATCTTTGCGCGGCCGATCCGGTCCGATTCGAGCTTCGTGCCGATGCGTCCCGATCTGGCGCGGCCGATCCGATTGGGTCAGGTTTTTCCGATTCGATGCTGACTGATCTTGCCCAGACGGCAAGGATCAGCATCCAGACCACACCAGGCCTCCTACGCCGTGATTTGTGCACGACTTGAGCCCCCACAGGTCTTTGCCCCTTCCCGGGGACTGGGTGTTCGCCCCGCCGTCTTTTGTACGACCCCGCAGCCCAGTGAGGGGGTTCGGAGGCCGAACGTGGCCAAACCCTTGCGGTTTTCATTGACGTTTGTTCCGGTTCCTCGGGCGCGTAACAGTCGTTCCCCGGGCCAATCCCCCAGGTAACGGTAACGATCGTACGTAGGGGGGGGCTTAAACCCCTTCCCACATGCTGGTGCTGGTGCACACTCTGGCAGTCACAGCGCATCCCCGCCCCACGTGCCCCACCACGCGTTACCATAATCGATGAGAATAGTAGTACAATCTCGAGCCCAATGAGGGGCCTCGGAGGCCGCACGTTGCCAAACGCCCTCGCCGTGATGTGTTTCTCACGACGCGATGGTCTGGGGCCACACGCTGCCGGACAGCTCCTGGCTGCCCAGCGACCCCCGACGCCGAGGAACTCGCCAGAGGCCTCCCGAGGCCACTCTCAGGTCGCGCGTCGCGGCCTGGGCCAGGTCGGCTGCCCCCCCTCCGAGGGGAACGGCGCGAGTGCGCGCAGGAAACCGCACGAAGGCAGGGCGACCTGGGACGTCTGGCGCCCACTGCCATTCGAGTGGTTTGGCGGGGGGATCGAGGATCGAGGGAGGAGGAGGAGGAGGAGGAGGAGGAGGAGGAGGAGGAGGAGAAAGAGGTAGAGCATCCGGCGCAGGAGGAGGAGGGCCCGAGATGGCCAAGAGAACCGCGATGCGACGGCGCCGGCGCCGCCGCCGCCGCCGACGGCGGCGGCCCTGGAGCCCGAGAGGCGGCGCCGATGGCCCCAGCCGGGGGCGGCGCGGTGCCCTCGGCCGCGGGACGGGGCGCGGCGGCGGCCGCCGCGGCGGCGCTGGCGCTGGGCCTGGGCTGGCGCCCCGGCGCTGGGCACGGCGTGCTGCTGGAGGAGGCGCCGAAGGCCACGCCGATGATGTTCCAGCCTGCTTTAGCCTTGACCGCCAGAAAGAGTCTGGAGCACCAGAGGAAGTGCCGAAACTCGAGGGTTTTCGCGTGTCGGGCCCCGGGAGACACTCGTCCGGCACTGTTTCGACACCGCTTCGACACTCTTTCGACACTTTTCCAGGTGCTCGACTTTATTTCTGGGATGTGGTCCTTAAGTACGATGGGAGCAACATAAGGCCACGCCAGATTCGGGAGGACTGAAGTGTGGACGAAAGCAGTGGGTGCGTCAGGGCAACGGTAGGGGGGGTGGGACGTTAAGGGGGTCGCATCGGCCCCTGATCGCCCGTGGGTGTCTGATGGCCTGACCCCGCCCAGGAACGTGCGGGCTTGCGATCGGGGCCTCATCGCCGATCTATCGGCGAGGTATCGCCCTTTGCCAGTCTTCCCCGATCGTTGCCCCTCAGTACATTTGGGGCGCGCATCACGGAAGCACATGTTGTTCGTCGGGGGTGCCTGAGGTTTTTCCTCGCGCCGCGCGCTGTGCGGTGCGCTCCCGCGGCCGTTGAATAATCTGCTGCGTTGTCGGTGCTGTGGGTTCCCCCACCACACTTTGCATCCCGCGCTTGCGGGTTTGCAGGGTCGGGCTTCTTGCGAGAGTTTCTTGCGGCCGCGTCCACATTGCGCGACGGCCAACAGCAGTGTCTGCCCGTTTTGAATAGGGCTTGTTGTCGGCATCGCCGCTGATGTGGTCCATCTGAGACAGGAAGTCGCTTGCCCAACAGCTGCCGCTGTTGGTTTTTGGACAACAGTTGTTGTTGGGCATCGTACTGTTTTCTGTGGGGACCCGGATGGGATCGGTCACTTTGAGGAGAGATCTCAATGACGAGCACGAGGAATCATCCCCCAGAAACTCTCTACCCCGCTGAGTGCACGCTCTGATGGGCTGCACCATCCGAATCAAGTACTTCTTGGGAGGCTGGGCCGTTCCCACAAGGCAATCTGCATCACTGTCTTTCCCGAGGTATTATGTGGGGTTCCTCGGCAAGTTGGTCTACGGGCGCTTTTTAAAGGGACTCCTTCCCGCACTACTGCTTGTTCAGGCACTGCCAGCAATAGTACTTGCATGATAAGTGTTGCCACTACTGCTATCGCGACGGGTGCTGTTGCTGCTATTGTCGCTTTAGTTTATCGCCACCGGTGGCCTTGCTCCAGCTACACGTGATACGATCGACGTTGTTGAGATTGATATTGATACCCGTACCACAATGGATAGCACCGTTTCTACAGATGTTAGGGATGACAAAGGATTGCCGTCTGCCGTCAGTGATATTGATCGTATTGTTGTTATTGCTGTTTTTGCCAACGCACTCACGGTGCCCAACAGGTGGCGGTGCCCGCGTCGCCGGCTGTTGAGCCCAGGGCCGAGCCCAAGGCAGAGCCCAAGGCTGAGCCAAAGGCCGAGCCCAAGCAGCAGCCCGCGACGCAGGACGGAACGCCGCCGGCGAGGCCGAGGAGAGAGGGAGAGACGGAGGTGAAGGCAGGAGAGGGAGACGGCGAGGAGAGGGCGAGGCGGTCAGAGGGAGGGAGGAAGGGAGAGAGGGGGTGACAGATGTGGGGACAGAGAGGGGTAGGGATGCTAGGAGGAGAAGGAGGAGGAGGAGGAGGAGGAGGAGAAGGAGGCGGATGGGGGAGGAGGAGGAGGAGGGTCTTCTCATTGTGCAGCCAAAGTTCGCTTCCTGCGCTCGACCGTGGGCCCGAGGTGCTTTGTCGACTTCTTTGCAGCCGTCTGCGCGCATACTTCACAAGGCCGAGGGAAAAGAGTAAGACAGGGCGTGTGGAGTGCTTTGGATGCAGAGACGGGAACGTCGGGGCAGGAGATGGAGTAATAGCTGGGGCGACGAGGCGGAAGAGGGCGAGCAGAGGAGAGGCAGGCGCGGCTGCTGGCGGGTGGCCCTAAACCTGTCTCGCGGGAGGGAGACTCCCGGCCCCCCGGCCGGCCCCCCCCCTTCGCTTGGGGCAGCGACACCCCTGCCGTCTTCGGCGGCGAGCGACGGGGGGAAGTGAGATGGAGAACGCCTTCCCAGAAGGCGGCGGGGCTTCTCAGTAGCCCTCCAGCTTTTTTTGAACCGTTTCCTGCGTCTGCGGATACGGCCCCGAAGACTTCTCAGAAGGCCGAGGCACTCAGAGCCTTCCGAGAAGGCCCGCCGCTTCCCACTCCCCCCCGGGCTGGCCGCGCCGACCTTCGCCCAGGGCATCCGCCACAGCGCACCCCAATTGGGAGCGGCACGGCCAGCCCAGACCCAGAGCGAGGGCGACGACCCTCCGACCGTCCGACTGTCCACCGCTGCGGAGCCGTGCCCACTTGGCATCGCTCGGACGTGTGCATTTTTCCTTCGGCGAGGACCATCGAGGAGCATCCTTGATCATTTGGTGAAAAAACCACGCACGAAACCAAAAAAAACAGGGAATGGACGTCCGAGCGATGGCCAGGCCCATGGACCCCGAGGAGTGGTGGACCTGGGCGTCAGCCCGGCCGCGTGGGCGGGCAGACACATCCACACGCAGCAGTCCCAGAGATCCCAAGGTGGGAGGATGACGACGGCTCCGACGCGGACTCGGCTGGGAGGGAGCGGCGAGCGTGTCCGACCACCGGCCCGCGCCGCCGCCCCGAGGCGTCCGCGCCAGCTCGGGGGCGTCCAAGAGAGGTGCAGTGTTTTTAACATGATGATGGTGATCATGATGATGATGGTGATGATGGTGATGACGGTGACGATGGCGATGATGGTGATGGTGATGATGGTGATGGTGATGACGGTGATGATGATGACTATCATCTCTTATGTGTACTAGTAGTGTTATTTCTGCACTCGAGAAAGCCAAACCAGTGGATGGTTTGAGAATTAGTGATAAAGAGATTGAGATTGAGATCGATAGTG